CACCAATAGATGGCAGTAGACAATGACGTGTTTAATGGCGAATATCTGAGTTTCAATGCATTTCTTCATATTAGTGTAATAGGAAAAAATATTTAGTGCATAATTTCCTTTCCTATGATACTACATAATACTATGTTTGACCAGATGCATCCGCCATCTTGTTTTCCAAGATGGTGGCCAGTTATCCTTCTCGAAAAAAATGGCACTAACGTTGTTTTTCTTGTTCAGTATAAAATTCTGAGTCGGAAAAACATTGTTGCCATAAATTAACATGAATTGCAAACTGGAGCCTATTTTACTACATAAGCCCCTGTGCTATATTGGTTGTTCAACATGACAAATATATTGTGTTTAAACGATCATTTTAGCCATTAAATACAACAACAAAATTTCATTATATAGCCATCGAATTATCAGAACTAGTCCTAGGCTATCTATATCACAATTCAGAAAAAATATGAAGGCCCAATTGGATACAATAATAATATGATATGATATATGAGGATACGATATGATTTAATATATCGTCAAATTATGTGGAGTTGAATAATTTGGTGGGTAAGATGTTCACCTTCCAATTCCAGAGTCCTGGGTGCAAATCCTCTCAGATCCCAGGATTATTTCTAACGAGAAAAACAACTCCACTCCGTCTCATTATGAGTATCATATATATTTGTCATGTGAAGGGATGAAGTCGCTATTGGTAATCATGGGGATTAATGTATAGGCCTATATCTGTCTGTTATACACATCTAGATGTGTATAAGAGACAGGTGTGTTTACTGGCCTCACGTTATTGATACTGTATGACATACTTTACTTGAGGGAGTAGAGTTTAATTTTGATATGTAAACTCAGTAATTCTATTGATGATGCTGTTTTGATAGAGTTTTCAATTTCGCTCAACTTTCCTCTTTCACAGCCAAATTGAAGGAGACACTCAGTGCCAGTATATACACCCATCTGGCATCAACTTTAATCTTCTAGAAACAGAAGTAACTGATCTCAGATGCCAGACTTAAGTCGGAAATCTCACGGGTGTTAGAGAAATTGTACAAGAAACAGCAATAAACTAAAACACGAAACAGCTGCGGATTCAGACGATCACAAAATGGATTTGATCTGGCTTCTCAGAATTCAATCATGTTATCATTTTATGTTAGACGTGCCTTTTCGTTTAGCTTCGTTATATGTACCCCCTTTGAAACAGGTAAATATATTACTGTTCTCAAACTTTAGAATGGAGATGTTCTGTTGTAATGGTGATTATAGAATATACGGTAATCATCACAGCTCTCTAGAAGTATATTATCTTAGCCTATATAGTTAATATCTATATAGTTGTGTCTGAATGGAAGTTTTTTTATGTTCTATTGTAGAATCTGATCACTTTTACACAATAGAATAAGCAAGTGGATAGAAATTATTGTGCAGCATTGTGTCAGCCGAATGAAGCGGTTAGCGCATCGGATGTGGCTTGGACTCGAAACGCTCTGTCTACGTTTGTCTCTGTTAGTACCCAAGAGTATAAATAGGTACCTGGTAGGATGCTGTGGCATTGACTGTACTAGTTTCGTGCACTGAGTACACAGGCACGACAGGTATACACCCCAGACAGCAGAGGTTGCACTTCGTGCTGATCAGGGTAATAACGCTCAGCACCTAGTCTGTGATCATTGATTCGGAATTGGCGCTATATAAATCTTTAAATAATAGGCCTAATAATAATTAATGACGATGATGATAATAATGATGATAATGATGATGATAATAATAATTATAATACAGTAATAATAATAATAATAATACAGTAA